AAGATTCTAATATTTTTATTATAAAGATTAAGAACATTTAAATGCATGAGGGGAAAAAGAACAAATTATACTACAATTAATTGAAAATGCATGAGAAACAAATTAAAAGACTTACACGGTCACAGCATGACCACCGAAGGTGTAGAGAATGTTGGTGGCTCCGGTAAAGTACAACACAAGTTTGGTCGGACCGGAATGTGTCACTCCCTCCGCCTACAGAATCACAATAACCAAATAACACAACCGATTTGATTAAACCATAATTGTTTTGTTCTTACATCAAATAAAAAACCGAATTGATATTGGTGGGACTCGTGACATACCTGGCCATGAAGAAATGCGGCGATGGTGAGGTACCAAGCGGTGTAGGTGGTCATGCCAAGGCCGAGGAAAGACCAAATACGGTAATTGTGAAAAGATGGTATGAAAACGGTCGTGGCACAGCAAGCACCAAATATATAAGTCCATGTCCTCTTGTCTAACCTATCGTTTATGTAATATATATTGCTGCACCACACACATGCCACAACTATTAATACGACAATGCCTTTATTGGATTTTGGTTGGTTCTTGAAAAGTTTCGAAAGACCCAAATATTATGCATAGGACTAATGAAATAAATGAAACAATTTATATACTCTGATTCAAAAATTGCATGGAAAATATGTTTGTAAAAAAAAAGATTCGAAAAGAAAAAGTGGAAAGAACCTAGCACAAGCGATGAGCTGGATGACTGATCCGAACAACAAGAAGGTGCAATTAAATGCGAGCCCCGCTGCTTTCCAGTACGGACCCAGCAGCCCATCAAGCACTTCAAACCACTTCCATTTCACATTTTTTATTCAAACACACCAAGAAAAATCCAATTAAATTCGTATAATCGAATCTTTATAAACATTAAAAAAAAAACATAGGGAATTTACCTGAATAACATGGTTTTTGAAGGATTTGGCTTCTTGTTTCTCCATTCGGGCTCGATATTCAACGTAAAGAACACTAATGAGGTAAGCAGTCCAAGAACCCATTAATCCATAGAATATTTGAAGCAATATTCCTGATAACATCCCCAACTGCGAGAACGAATATGGCAGTGTCAACAGCACTTGTGCCACCTGCAATCATCATCATGCATATTTTTTAATCCAAATAAAAAACTTTCATGAAAAAGAATAATTTGGTCTTATTATAGTAAAGAAACCTTTGTTTGTTAGTATATAGTAATTATTATACAAAGTTTTGTTTTCCTTACTTGATTAGAAGCACAACTAAACCAAGCGTCCCAAGCGGACCCTCCATGCCAGAGGAAGCTCTTCATGCTAAAACCATCGCCGGCTCCGTCAACATCCCCCGCCGTGGAATCTTCAACTTTTCTACCTGACACGTCATCATCCACCTCGCCGACCCCGGAAACCACTATTGCTTCCTCCGCTTGCTTCTCACTCGACATTAGCAATCGATATCTATACCGAATAAAACAAAGAAAATATTGAAAAAGTTCTTGGAGAGTAAAGATATGATCTTTTGAAAAAAGAAAGATTTGTCTTCCTTTTTTTCCTTTTTCTCTAAGAAGTAACACAAAGACTATAAAGAGAGCCACTAAAGAGAGAGAGAGAGATGTTTGGTTGGTGTAATAACAATGGTGAGTGAGTAGGAGAGCAAGTGTAATAACGAAGGTGTAGTTAAAATGCTATGTTTTAATGCGGCCGCCTATGTTACAAGTATTTTC